GCCAGACACATCGTAATGACTGGACTCGTGAAAAAGCCTTGCAGTCACCTGCTCAGACGGTTCGAGTCAAGTCTCACAAAGAGTATTCCTTCCGCCAGCTCCGGAAAATGACGACTAGAGGTGGCCGGAAGAAATGTCGGACTGAAATACCGGAATAGGCCTCGAATAATCGTGACACTTGAAAACGCAACTAAATTATCCGCCAAGCTAACGGTAAGTCCACCGCACTGTGTGACTATTTGCAACGTGACTGGTGACTTTATTGCTGACAACTCGAAGAAAGTCACGCATTGACGTGAACACTTTGAGCATCCTCTCGATTTCGAGGAGCAACCCATCACACCCCTGCACTACTATACAGCGGACATGTAGCCCTTTCCAACTTAGGCAGTGCCACACAAACCCCTTCTAATGAAGGAGCCGTCAATGCAATCTGGAGGCAATGCAACAAGGCGACCGGAAGACGGTATTCCTGCAGAAATCTGCAAGCCTTGCGTCAACACTCTAGCGTCCTGACACCGTCAGATGATTGGGAAAGACTGGAGGGATGTTGTCGGTCCTGATGACTGGGACTCGGACATCCATGCATCTGTTTTCCAAACAGGAAATCAGACGCGGTAAATACCGCGATATAAGCCTCATGCACGGTGCTGCGAAGGTCTTAGTTGTTGTATTTCTCAGAAAATTCCAGGCTGTGTATAAGTAGAAAGAGGCGCAACCATGCAGGATTTCTTACGGTGCGTGAATTTGCGGATAAAATCTTCAGAGAGGTGTGTTCTTAAATCCCTATATAACTACCAACAGCTGAGAGCCGTTTCCATTAACGACTTCGCCATCGCATAGAGTTCTATCCGCTGTGAGTCTGTGTGACAAATAATAAAACTATGCGACTTGCCGATCAAAATCACTTTCATGATAAAAGCCTACTGTCTTTGTATCTCACAACAATCCGTCCTACCGCCTCGAGTATCGAGCTGATACATTTAAATCGTTTGGGTGGCCTTAATAAGACAATTTTAAATGATCTAATAATGAAAAGGCACGACGTCAGCGCAGGGCGTAGCAAATAGCTGCGTCGAATTCACCTATAATTATCCCCGCATTAATTCGTGCAGTATCCCGTCGTAAAATACAAACATACCAAGATAGCTGTAGCACAGCGGCTCAAACGTAAGCGAGGATAAAAATGTAACAGTTTTTTTTTAATGTTTGCAGTTTAAAGCATATTCATTGGCAAGTAAGGCAAAAAAAGCCACCCTACACAAAACCCTAAATACGAGCGAAAAGCTTTTTGTGCTGATGCCTAAAATTACTGCGTAGAAAAACAACAATAGTTAAATGCCAGAGCCCTTAATTCTGCAAACTAGTAGACCAAGTCGGCCTTTATTGCACGACAGAGAGTAAGTTGGAGTGAATTATCCTTTAAAAAACCGTGAACTCAGAAATAATTA